TTCCTTTAATTAGGTAGTCTTGACTACTTTCATCTCATCAAGGAAAAAGCAGGGCAGAATCAGAGATCAGATCTTCTTCATTTGATCCTACATAAGAAAGGAGAAAAAGGATAAGTGAAAAGAGGCTATAAGCTCTCCTGTTGGGATTTTGCCAGGTATTTCTCCCATATGAATAATTAATGGAAAGACCAATGCCCTGAAATTTCATAGCCTGGCTTCTGCTACTTCCACTCCTGCTTATGAAACCTTTCTATTACCACCACAGGTTGTCTGTGACTGACCCTATGCTTTTAGCATGGGAGGGGACTTCCTTTTTTCCATCTTTCTTTTCCAGGCTGTTTCTGACAAACTCTGAGTACTTGGTCTCTTTGACACTGGTAATTATCCCTTCAATCCCAGTTACAATATGTCAGCTTGAGGCTAGAATAAAAGCAATAACTAATTGTAGAAAAGCCCAATAAAAATGTTATATGCTACTGGTCTCAGATTATCTCAGCTTTTACATGTTCTAGAAGGTGGAAGTCTTCATCTCTGCCATGCCCTACTGCCCTTTTTTCACTCTTTAAGCTTTCTAAAGCCTAGACTCATGTTCACATTTTTCAAGATTTCATGCAAGTTGCTTGTGAAAGCTGCCATATTATCACCTACTTCCCTGGCAAAGCTGCAAAAGCCAGCAAAGCTGTTATTATTATCACTCCTCGCATAGTTAAGATGCAATAGCAGTGCAAATAGAAAAGCAAGAGAATGTTTATAGAAAAATACTGTCCATTAAAATTTGACTTACGGTAAGCCAGGCTTTATATTATTACAGAAAGAACTGCTGAGAACTGGAGTGCCTCCACGTTCACCAGCAAAATTACATGTTCACTGAGTGGGTGAAGAAGGAACAGAAAAGGATGATGAAGATAGGGCAGTGCAGAGCAGCCCTCGGGGAGATAGAGAAGCTGAATAGCAGTCTAGTCCCCAGTGTGTGCAAACACCCTTTCTCCTTTGGAAATCCATACAGAACATGAGCTATTCTTGCTTCCTGCTCTAGAACTTCTGCTCCTTAGCTGAATGGCACAGCTCTTGCTTTTCACACTGGCAAGAGCTGTGTATGCACTCATACACAATAAGCACTGCCAAGTGTTATAATTACTGTGTTCACGTGGTCACTGTGTCTTATTGCCCAGTTATTTCATAACTGAGTGCTAAGTACTGCACCAGCTCCAAGCACACAGCTCTCACTGACTTCTAGGGCTCCCTTTACACATAGGTCTGTTGGAATTAACGTTTTCCATGACTTTATTTACTTGACCTGTCAATATTTTGGAGAACATAACGGTGCTTTGGAACGATTGCGTATTTGCCTTGTCTACGCATTGAAGCTGTACTTACATGTGTATCTCTTGCAGAACTCATTCATGAGGAAAACCATACAAGATTACAAGTTAATAATCTCCCTGAATGTCAAAATCCAGGGCAGATCAGGATGTGCATTGTGTTGGCAGTGCTGCAAACTGGGCTGTTTTAGTATTAACAGTAAATTTCCTAGCTTCAGTAAGACTTTTAATAGGTTTTGCAGCAGGTTAACAACTAGCCATGGATATTTGCCATAAGTAATGCAAAGCACAGGAAAAAAGGTGCAATTATTAAGAAAACAGTAGCTTGAGTTTTCAATTCAGTAGGAAGACTCTGGTTCTTTCTTTTAGATTTACATTTCTGAGTAAAACAGATATCCCATCTTTGTTAGAAAGAACAGCAATTTCCAGAACCTACTGATTCTAGATCAGCACATTTTAGATCCCAAATATTCCAAACCAACACCAAGTAAGATTTTGTTATGGCTGCTAGCTGTAGAGTGTGACTGAGTACCTCACACTACATGGGTTCCAGCTTCAGCTACATAATCAATGAGGCAATATTTAGGTGCATAGAGCAATGTGGCAAAGTATCTTCAGCTGCTCCAGCTCACCATCTGGTACATAAACAAAACAAGCCTTGAACCAGATTTTCTACTGGGATGACTGACATGCAGACATACATTGTGCCATCCTGGTTTTAGGGATAGCAACTTCTGGAAAGGGGAACATGAACACCTGAGAAAGAATTTTTTTCTCAGAACGTGGACTATTTTCTTCATCCATTTTAGGAAGATAAAAAGCAGTGAGATCCTTATGGTGACTCTTGAGATAGCCACCCTACATCAGTCACTGGTGATAGCCAAGAGGAAGGAACCACTCTTCTGGGCTTCTGTTTCATCAGACACTAATGTTCTTTGATCATTCCCCTTCCCTTGTTTTCTTCTGGTTATAAATTATGAGATACAAAGCATGTGTAAGCTAAGTAACATTCTGCCTCTCTTATCTGTCCCTGTAACTGCCCCTTCTGCCATCCCCAAATCTTCTTCTTGTGGTTGTTTACAGAGTGCAAGTAGAAAGTAGGTCAGACAAATGGAGACTGTCAGATGACTAGTTTGAATTTATGGACATGTTGTTGTCTCTGTAGAACCATAGCGTTGTTGTTACAAATCCCCAAAAGTTTGTTTTAGCCTGAAAGGCTATTAGACTTACTTCACCAGCAAAGGAGAAGGCTTTCTGCAGGAATTTCATCTGATTAAGTCAACAGAACTCTGCCTGCAGAGCAGAGCTTCCAAACATTTGGCTTCATTTTTGTGTAATTTATTCTTTATCTTTTCCTGCTCATAATGGAAATACTATGAAAAGCCTAAACAATTTAACAACTGGGATTTATTTTCCTTTTTGCCCCTCACTTTGCCCACACACTCCAACACCAAAATCTCAGTCAGTCATGATAGTTTAGAATCATAAGCAGCATTGGAAACACGTGCTCCATACAGATAGTGTCCCACCATGCAATGAGGAGTGCACACCACAATGGCTGCTGCTAATGGCAGCGAAGGGGAGTACAATTTACAGCTCTTTTAACTCCTCCAGCAAAGACACCACCAGTCAGTTACTGTGGCAAATGAAATATTCTGACAGAAGTATGATTGAAGTTGACAATAGTCCCACAAATATCAGCAGAGTTTCCAATAGTGTTGACAGTTTTAGTGAATTCATGGCAAAGCAAGTAGTAACTGAAATGTAGTAACAGGGAGTTATCATTACAGCTCTGAACTCATACAGACAACAAAATTGGCAATTTGACTTCAGAACTATTTGAGACACTAGATTTTTCTTAGTAGGCTAGGTTTTATTAGAAGCTATGGATCACAACTGGAAGGACATTGCAATGCAGCAAGGTGCCATGAAAAAGCTGAGAAGCATCCACGGAATTACATCTATCTCAGTGCAAACTGTGCCAAAGCTCCAAAACATCCTGTAGTCTTCTATTTCAAAATGAAGCTGGACATTCACTATTCCACATTTTGATTGCCTAACTTAATGCTCTTATAAACTCCAATTTCTTACTGCAAAAATGTGCAACTTTAACTACCTTGGGTAGGATGCCTCTGTCCTTATGCATATGCCTCACCAGGTGGAAGTTGGGTGCCCATTCTCAACAGCTGTGTAGGGATTCCCTAAACCAGGACACAGGGGAAGAAGTTCTGTGATTTAAATGGGGTAATTCCTCCTGTCATAAAATACACTTCTAAAAGGAATGAGATCTTTTGAGGGCAACTCAGCCTATCTTTTAAATAATATTTTTAAAGCAAATGTTGCTGTGATTAATCTCATTAACTCTTGGATTCAAGTAATTCATGGATCCACATAAGAACATGAAAATGAGTGCATTATTACCACATCTAAAAAAAAAGTTATAAAACTGTTAAGCTGCAACTACTTTCCTTCGCAACAGAAACTTATAAGGGTTTCAGCTCATAAACTCATGGTACCTGATAGCTTTTGCATTTTATGCTTTACCATGACACCTGGATACTTCTAGTTTATTGTATCTATGTGTTCAGCATGAAAGAGCTGAAAGTCTCATCAAGAGACTTTCCAAATTCATAAGGCCTTCCTAGTCAGCTAGTTAGATTATTAGTTATGTGCCTTCTGAAGCTATTAAACTTTCAGTTGTTAGATTTTCAATACTGTCCATTTAGTGCTTCCTTCCTGAACACAAGTATTTTTACTATTCCAAGGCAACAATTCCAGATCTCTTTAGATAGTACATTGCTAATTGCAAGAAATTCAATGAGTGCCACAGACTTAGAGTTAATACCTTACTTACTTTGCAGCAGCCACCAGTTCCACACACAAAACCTCAAAACTTCATTCCAACCTGTTGTTTCTAATCACTTTTTTTTTCCAACAGGCTGTTTCTCATCACTAATGTTAGTGATATGACTTTGCTGATACATTCAGAACCTATTTCAGTCTTCATCTAGTTTTATGCCATTGGAACTTGGACATCCTTCCATAAAATTTTGGAGACAAAAAATTGCAAAACATGGCAGCTATATTAGGTATCTCAAGGTTATAGTCAAAGACTGTGACCATAAGAGAAGCCCATTCTGCTTGGTGCTATTCAGATTAACAGGGTATGCTTACATCTCCAGCAAGGCATGACTGTGCTGTATCAAGGTATATTTTACATAGATGGCCTGCAGGCAGTTCAGCAGTGAAGCTACAGAACCTGGCACAGACTGCAAAGCCTACCTGAAAAGCAAACTCAGAAAGGTAATCTGTGCTGACTTATTGCTGCTGGATCTATACTGACAAGGGTATTTGACTGATGTTAAGTAATTTAAAGCTAATTTAAGTATTTCTATGTAAGAAGGAGTCATAATGTGATTGCTATATAAATATCTCTGTAGTAAGCCATAGTACTTTCTTGTGGTTGCCAGAATTAAAGAATGGTAATGTCATGAGAAAACAGGGACACAGTGAAGACAGGTGGCTTCCTAAATTTCCTGCTGAAAATGGTATCCATCTACGGACACAAACGCCTGGCATGAACTACAGTGAATGGCTACAGAAACACATAATTTCCAAATTTAGTCTCTACATACTTCAGAAGAAACATCTGTGGTTTAAGACAGCCCAACATACCTTATTTTCCTTTATCCACACAGTATCAGCTTCCTGTCAACTTCACTTCCCAAATTCACCCTCCCATTTCTACAGTCTGAAAAACAAAAATAACAAACAACTCAAAAGTTAGCAAAAGTAAGGATGAAAATAGTGCTAATGATGGATATTTACTGTCTTTTCAACTCACTTTAAGGGCTATGAAAGCCACACAGAAGAGTTATCTCTCTAAAAGATCAACTTACTAATATTTTCTGTCCACTGCCAATTGCAGCTCTCCTAACATACCTGCACTGCTGACTGCTCTTGGAACATGACATCAGACCTTCAGCATCAGGCAAGTGATGCCATTAAGCAGCCACTGACCAATAGGTTGAAACATACACAGGAGATCTGCTACACTGATGCTGTTATACAGTCCTCTGAATTTCTTGTTTCCAAACAATCTTCTGATACATTTAACATCAGTATACAGTGGTCAGTTTTTTAGCTCAAGCTGGGAACTGAAAAAGAAAACAAAGATGACAAAATCGTAAATACACAATAAATTTTAAAAAGTTACGTTCTGAGGCTCCTTTGCCTATTGCTTTTTTGTCAAGTCTTTTAGCTGATTTAAAAAGTGATAACCAACTCTACAACTGGAATAGTAACACCTCAAACTTGAAAAACAAACCATTGAAAAGTAAAACTGAAATCAATTTTAAAGGACAGACTGAAAGGAACTTTTTCAACAGCAAGCTCACAAGCAGCTTGAAAGGAAAAGCAAGTAAAAGAGGACAGAAAAATATCAGAAATTCATGTAATACAACGTTCTGATTTAACAGTAGGTCGGCTACTTGCAGCTGGTTACTTGTTCTCAAAGGTAGGATAAACTCTTGGACAAGTCCTATACAGTGAAAATATGGTAATTAATTATACATACAATTAATTAAACATACAGTTCTAATGTTTAAGTCTAGAAACTAGATGCTAACTTCCTGTACAAGGGAACTCAAATGTAGGAGCTTATACTCAGATGCACACAGCAAAGTTCTTCATGGTCTGTTATGCAATCTGCTGTAGACTCCTCTGTACTGCCACAGTAACTCAGTAAGGTGCCAGGGAAGAAACCACCTCATTTGGCCATTAAGTTTTCAAACCTGCTCCTACTGCCACAGCCCTAAATCCCACTGACTTTTGCTTGGAACTGGATTGAAAGACCCTAAAAATCAGCTGCAATAAGGCTCACAAATTAAGACTTAAACATAATTATATTTAAGTGTTTAATTCCCTCTCTGAACTGCTGAAGTTATCTAACACCAGATGATCAAGTCACATAATTTCAAACTAAATATAGGGTGCTTTTAAGTTATTTTATCATTTGAAGACCTCATTGGTAGTAGAATAGAAATAGAAGTATCGTTACCTTTTGTCCTGTTTCTAGAAATAGAAGCAGGACAGAAGGTAATGCTACTCTAAGAATAACATTCCAAAACAATTTATTTACCCCAAAATCCCAAAATTGCTCTCAATCTATGCTCCACCCAGCCTATAATTATGTTTAAGGTTATCATGACTCAGGTGGAGGACCTTGCCCTTGCTGAACTCTATAAGGTTCACATGGACCCACTTCTCAGGCCTGTCCAGATCCCTCTGGATGGCATCCCTTCCCTCAAGCATTTCAGCTGCACCACAAAGCTCAGTGTCACCAGGGCTTGCACTTGATCCCACTGTCCATGTCTCTGAGAAAGGTGTTAAACAGCCCCAGTCCTAATAATGATCTCTGAGGAACATCACTGGTCTGAACTTGGACATTGAGCAGTTAACCACAACTCTTTGAATGCAACCACTGAAAGGAAATAGAAAAATACACAAAAGCTGTCTTCAAGAATTGAAATTCAGTGCTTCAGAAACTAACCAGAGCACAGTGTGGCTGTTCAAATCCTGAAAACAGAGATGATCAGCCAGTTGCATCTTGCACAAAAATATGTGTATCTAACAGTGTGAAGACTACTTTCCTAATATGCTCAAAAAACTTAATGCAGGAAGAAAGGTTGAAACACTGAAAACTTTAGGCATGGATGAGTTTGACACTTTATTCTGGAACAATCATTGGACAACAAAGAACTCTTAACCAGGAAAAATAACAGCCAGCAGAATGTGTGCATTCCTGCTCTGCTTCCAATTCCCCTGAGAACATGGGGGAAAAACTGGGGAAGTTAAAACCATTTCCCCAAGCAGCCTAAGTTCTCTTTTGACCTGCTGTTATTACAATAAAAGCAAACCTATTACAACCAACTTTAGTCAGATTTTTTAGAGCTGAAAGAGTCATCTCCGGCTCCCTTTGAAATCAATTAAGAAAACAGGTATTTAACAAGTCATTTTTCTGTTTTATTTTAGGCAGTGGCATTGGGATGAGAAAAATTGTGTTGCAAAATGAAAACAACAAGCCCTATAAATTTCCCTATTTCCCTCTACACACAATAAATGAAGTCCAGACGAGGAATTGTCTGTGTTTAGTAAAATGAATCCCACCCACAAAGCCTGTGGCATACAGAAACTCCTCCCAGAGGCCTTTTGTTATAGCTGTTACAGTTTCCATCATTTCCAGACTATCAGGCAACAACAGTGCCTTCATGGTAATCTCTAGACGTGCAATGGAATTACAGACATGCAAAGCTCTTCCTAAGCCATCAGATCCTACTGTATGGACTCTATGGATCTGAGGGGTACACCTTACCATGTAAGTACTCTACATGATAAACAGGAAAGAAATAGATCAGAGAAACTCTTTTTTCCTATATTGGCTACATAAACTCCCTCCCTCCCATTGCAGAGACTTGGGACAAAACCTGAAAGACTGAAAACTGCAAGAAGATATGCTAAAATTTTTTTTAAAAGAATTATATTAAGCTGTATTCTTGACTAGCAACCTAGAATCTACAACACAGCATGAAAAATAATCTTTGGTTGAAGACCTACATCATCTTCCTAACTCCATTTTTATAGCAGTATTGAACACTGATGGAGGAGATTTGCTATTAATCCTCCTACTCAGAAGGAGCTATAGATGCCAAGGTGAGCATTGCTCATATTGTAAGCTAAGCTTGATAACAGTCTAATATCTGAAAATCCAGCTTCATTTATTATTTTATTTTTTAAAATCTGCACATGAGATAAAAAAATCAGTCACTCTTTGGATAGCGTGTGCCATCACAATGCTCTTTTATGCTCCCTCAAACAATTGGTACCCAGAGCAGGTGGAACTGGCAAATCTCTGATTCCAACAATTACTACAAACACCTTTTTTTCCACCTGAATAGGTCCCCAAAGAACATAATAATTCCAGAAATTACGTAGTATACAAGTGATGTTCACCATCAGAACCGTTTCACCTGTAGAAAACCAGACCTCTTGTTAGACTTTGTTATAGAACAAAGTCTTGTCCATCCTACAACAGACAAAACCACTGTTATCAATTAACAATACAGCTAACAATAATCAGTACAGCTTCACTATTTCATAGAAGGCTTTTGAGTACCATGTTCACTCTGCAGCTCCTCATCACAAGAAAGACATTGATATGTTGGAGTGAATTCAGGGGAAGGCTACCAAGCTGAGTGAGAGACGAAGCACATGGTGTACATAGATGGAAGAAATGTGTTTGTCCAGTCTTTATGAAAAGGGAGTTAGAGGAGACCTAATTGGATAGGGACCTGAGCACCCTGATCCTTTTGAACCTGCTCTGTGAAAGCAGTTGCACTAGGTGACCTTTCAGAGGCCCTTTCCAACCTATGTAATTATATGATTCTGTGAAATGAATGAGAAAGTGAGGAAGCAGTTTCTATGGCTTTAATGCACACTTCCATCAGTTCTTGAAGGGTGCTCAGTCAGTATTCAATACTCAGAATCACTCTCACCTAGTTGCCTGCCTAATGACATGTTAATATAGTTGGGTCTACACACAGACACTCAGACTGCCCACAAATCTCATCCCCTTCATAGCAAGCAATGACACAGCTGTCCTAAGGACAAGGAACTATCTTATCTGCAGACAACTGAATTAGCCAGGCACACAGCCTATCCACAAAGCAGTGAGGCTGCTCTTGAATGACCTTTAAAATTTCAGCACTAAGTAATGTTTTTCCTGTAAGAGAATCAGCTGTTTTCATGTGCCCCCAGATTCAGGAATAACAACGCCCTAACAAGTGCAGAATGAACAGTTAACACATTTGGCTTCAAGATGAATGCTGCACAGCATTACAGACACAGTTACCAAGATCCTCTTACATGATGTGTATATTTTGCCAATACAATCTGAAGCCATGAAAAAATACATTGCCAACAGAAGCAACCAAATGTAAATGCATTCTGCCAAAAGAACTTGCTAGCTGCACTATGCCAACAGACTGTTTGCCAGCTAGATCTCCTCATGCAGGAAAGGCAATGGATTCCCACTGACTTTCAGACTGTCAGATTCCAGTATTAAATTGATGGATTAACATTTTGCAACCAACAAGGTGACACTAGTTATCTTCATGACTGTTTTTAGTCACTAGTAAATACTAGTTGACACTAGTCAACATGTCAATTTACACCACCATCTGTACTGAACCTTGCAAACACAAGGCTGCAAATATCTGGAACTGCCTAAGTAGATACACCACAGATGTGGAATCACTTAAAAACTCTGTGAGTTTTCATATGCTGCCACATATTAGTACAGGCTTACTACTCCACCTTGTACACTCAGACACAGCAGACAAGATCCTGAAGTACCTTTGCATGCTGTGCACTAGTACAAATCAAAAGGACAGATGTCTAACAAAAATGGCAAGTTGTTTATGGTTCACATTAGGATTTGAATTTTGTGGTCCCAACAATAAAACCACATTTCCAGATAACAAGGTGATGATGCAGGGTATTTGGAAGTTCTCTGAAAAAGAGGTTTTTATTCCTGTTTACTAATCCAATTAATAAGGAACTTTGTGGGGACATACTCAATCTGATTCAACTTCTTACGAGGGTTTGAAAGCCTATCCAAAGAAAAAGAAATAGAATAATCTAAGCATAATCTGGTGATGAACCATAAAAAAGATTCAGACAAGGCATCTGATTTGCCATTTTCCCAAAACATTTAATGTTCAACATCTCACCTATCAGAAATATCTTGAGCTTCTTTTATCTTCAAGAGAAAACAAAAACAATTCAAAGTAGTTTAAATGTTTTAGTTGATTAAGAGGGACTTCATTAATAAGAAGGTCTAGGAGAGAAGACATAAACGCTGTCAAACTGACAAGTTAGTAAAAGGAGGTTACAGTTACCCTTGGAATCCTTCCTGTAGAAATTATAGTACACTGAAGAACAACATGTAATAATTTTGGCCACATCTTTTATAACATTTTCATAGTGAGACATTTACTGAAAAACAAACTAGTAAAGCAAATTTTCAGTCAAAGGCAACACTAACAGATCATCCCTACTCCCTCAGCAGAGCATGAGAGAGATCCAGAGCAGATGAAAG